ATAACTTTAAAAAAAAAAAAAAAAAAAAACACCACAGAAGATCTAAGGAGATCACCACCCACTGAGTACACCACTGTAGTCTTCTCCCGAAACAGGACAAACTCAGCAGTCACTACTTCAATGTACGAAGACCTTAAAGTTGGTTCTCAGGATGACCAGTTTCAAAACCAAATCTAAGGTTCAGACGAGTAAAATTCTACTGTATTATTTAGAAACATTAAATATTTACTTGGGCATTCTGTTAGTCATGCTTCGGTCATCAGCAAGATAGAACCTTGTAAGTTAACTTCCTGTTTTTACTGAAAATTAAACAGTCTTTAATTTCTGATGTAGAGGTACTTAGTCTGATGTACAAAATGCATCTCCTGTGCTACAAAGTATTTTGTAATGAAATCCAAAACAAAAAAAAACCAAACTGCATTTTTAATGTAGGCCAAACAGTAGCCATGTCTTCATGTATGAACAGCTTAAATCCCATTACATAAATGAATGTTTCAATGTACTTCTTGCCATGGGTGTTAACACCTTGTGCTTTGCTATCTGACCTTCCCAAGGACAACGTTACAGAAGATGAAGTATAACTACAAACAAAATGGGAGTCTTGCTGTACAAGCAAACAGAACTGACATCAGCACAAGTTGGAAATTTGCCCACAAATATTCCCCCAAAAGGAGACTTTTTGAATCAAAGCGATGAAAGGAGTTGCATGTGAAAAACCCACTATTAATTTTCAACTATCCTAAAATACTAGATTTTTATTTGGAGCTATCCTAGTGCCACAAAAATTAGTCAAGGGGTACAAATATCATAGGTTACATTTAAAGATATTTCTATTTAATGAACTCTGCAACACTTATTAATAATGGGGTGGGGGGGAAGGTTCTAGAAGCTTTGCTGAAAAAGAAAGCCAGTTTGCTATAACACCAAATTCCAGGTAACATGGAAGTGAGCCAAGAAATCCTTTTGAATTGCTTTAGGATAAAGAGGAAGCTTTGGTACCTACAGCAGCTAACAGTCATTAAAGTTATTAGACAAAAGTTAAGCTTGTTTTTTCCCCATTAACTGTTACTCCTGGGGGAATTCTGCACATCTGTGGATGCGCAGAATTCATCTGTCTCGCATAATATCATTTTCACTCACAAAACACATTTTGCCAAGCAGTGCTGTTCCGCCTTTTGCCCACCAGAGGCCGCTGTGGCGCCAGAACGGCCAGCTGTATTCATGCCCGCTGTTCTAGCACTACAGTGGCCTCTGGGGAGCAAAAGAACTGCAGCAATTAGGCAAAATGTTTTTTATGTGGGGAAAATACACAATTCTATGCCCAGTGCTGCAGAATTCCCCCAGGAGAAGAGTTCATCACAGCATCCTGCCTGCTGAGCCAGGTTAGGTCAGGGCAGGGCACACAGAGCTGCTGTGGGGGTCACAGACTAGGATTGAGAATGGCTAGTGGGGGGACAGACTGGAGCACAGGCTCAGGAGCTAGTGGGGTGACAGGGCTAAGCCTGGGGCTGCAGAAACCCATGGGGATGAGGGGATGGGAGGCTTCCCAACACATTAACAATCCCCCCCTGCCTCCCAACAAAAACCTCCCACCCAACACCCTCCAGGTTCACTCCTAGGCTCCTTCCCCCTCTCTCAGCTCCTCTGTTACCCCTGACTCCCCCAAGCCTTTGCACTGCTTCTGACAGGTGCAGGAAATACAGTTCTGTATTATAATTTAAATGAATTGCACAAAGTTCTGTATTAATATGCCTTGTAAGGAATCTGTCAAAAAAAAAAAAAAACGTTACCAGAATTTTTTTTTTTTTTGGTCTGTATTGCTACAGATATACTTGCTGACAGATATTTTGAAATAAAGTACCAAAATAACTGTAACTGGCATAATTATATTGTGTTATTTTGACAAATAAAATATTAAAAAAACTGAACTGGTAATAGAAAAATTGACGGTCTAGTGTTGTTGATGCAGCAGAACGTTTCCACAGTTTGTGCTAAAAATTGCTATAATCATTGTGGGAAAATTTTACTCTGGAGTGGTGATTTCCTTTTTTCCCAGAACTCTATTAGCACTTCACCACAAGAGGGCTCTTAAGACAAAAACATGTATTTCCGGGCGGGGGAGGGGGGGAAGCAACCTGAGCCTGAGAAGGAGCTTACCAGTGTACATTGCCAAAGAGCCATAGTAATATGCCAGCAGCCCTCCCATCAGCTCCCCCACCCCACTCCCACCACCTTGCACACACCCGCAGCCCGGCCAGTCAGCACCTCCCCCTCCCTCCCCGCACCTCCTGATCAGCTGTTTTGTGGTATGCAGGAGGCTCAGGGAGGGGCGGGAGCGAGGCCATGGCAAGCTCAGGGGAGGGGACAGGAAGGGGCAGAGTGGGGGCGGGGGCTGGGCCTGTGGCAGAGCCAGGGGTTGAGCAGTGAGCACCCCCCAGCACATTGGAAAGTTGGTGCCTGTAGCTCCAACCCTGGAGTCGGTGCCTCTACAAGGAGCCGCATATTAACTTCTGAAGAGCCACACACGGCTCCGAAGCCACAGGTTGGCCACCCCTGATCTATTTCCTGCTATGTACTTTGTCTGCATGTGACAAAGTGTTCTGGGTGACAGCTACAAAGCAAGACTTAACTCACACTCCCTGCAACAAATGTATATCGGGATTATAATCAAGACTACACTGAAGATAAACCACTTGTACATTTCCATACAAAAGTCATTAATGCACAAAGTCAAGCCTTATAGAGGCACCATAGTGGCTCCATAGATAAGGTTATGTTGCTTCTTCCACTTAACGTGGGGTTTAAATACTTCACATGAGCAGGAAACCTTGCATTGATTGTTCCCAAGATGAGTTCACTAAGGAGGACAAACGTCAATTTTCTAACTTTATGTAAAAAACAAAGGAAGATAACCTTATTTTGGACCTCCTCACGCTCAAAGAGGCAACAACTTGAAGGGTATGTCTACACAGCATTCTGGAGCTCATGGGAGCAAGACTCCTAGCCCTGGGCTAGTGGGGCTTGTGCTAGCACTCTACAAATAGCTGTGTAGACAGAGCTTTGAAGTTGCAACTCGGGCTGGAACTGGGTGCTGAAACCTGGGTTTGGGGGGTGGGTTGGGCTTCAGGGTCCGAGCTTTAGAGAGCTGTCTATGCAGCTATTTTTAGACAGCTAGAGCAATGCAGCTAGTCTGTCAACCCGAGATGGAAGGCTCACTCCTGCTTGCTCCAGAATGCTGTGTAGACATATCTGAATTATCACCCACCAGTGCATTAGGCTGCAGGTCCCAACATTAGGTTATTTCGGAAAGTTTAATACCAAGCTTCTTCACTGTAACTGTTTTGTTTCAAAAAGAGCGCTACATCTTTGTAAAGAACTTCTATTCTCCAGTGCTGTCTCTACTACCCATCTTAGCTCCTCTCTGCGGCCAGCCTGCTTCCCTAGCACCTAATCCCTGCTATCCTGTGCCTCTGGCAAGAGTCCCTGCCTCCTCCTTCCCCCCCCCCGCACCCCAACATCCTTACCCCTAGCTTTTCAGAAAATTCAAAGCTTGCCAGCATGACTTCACATCATCTTACCTGCCAAAGTCTGTCAGGCCATAGATTTTCCTAGAAAAATTGCTCCCTTTGTAGCACAAATACACAGTCCCCTTTGTCAGACAAACTTGTCACTGGGCCTCCCTCTCCCCCTGCCCCCTCCTTGCTACTGTTATGACTGAGACATGGTGAGAGAGGGAGGCTTGGAGGCAGTATCCTGACAAGTAGAGCTTGTAGATCTACCACAGAGAAGGGAAGATCTCCTCCATCTGGCAAACCTCCTTTGATTCACTAGGGGTGAGTCCTGAACTGATAATAAACCTGCCAAGGTCTACTAAGACAGTGTGCAGGCAATTCTTAGTATGTCTCCAGAAGGAGAAATTAGAGAGCCATGTGGGAGAACAGAAGGCACAGGGTCAGAGCAGTGGGTTTCCCTGCACCCCCTGGCCAGCCTACCCACCGGTTTCCAGGCCAGTAACTCAATCCCAGTGCCCATCTTATCTCCCCAGTTCCACGGTACCTCTTTCATCCTACACCAAATCCACTGGCACACACACACACAAATCTCCATGTGTCCCTGTAGCCCGGTGAAGGAAGTAGCAGGGTGGCTGGCTGCTGGCTGAACTCCTTCTCCCTCCCCCACTGCAGCTACTGCTTCTCCTTCCCTGTTGCCTCCACCCCCGAGTCACCTCAACAGGTGGTCTGCAAAGCAGGCAGCAATGCAGGGACTCCAGCAGCAGGGCAGAAGCAGCAGCAGCTGCACGGCTGGGGAGAGGAGGAGCTCAGCCTGCAGCCAGCCACCCCGCTGCTTCCTCCACCCCACAGCTGCAGGGACACAGAGTGCTGCTGCCAGGGGGGAGCCGCTGCCTTCTCACTGCTGGGCATCCCCACCAGAGGCGTCCTGCCAGAGGTGTCCAGAGAAATTGCCAAGGGAGGGAGAGGGTGGACAGCATACGAACGCTTCATTTGTGTGTGTTTAACGTGGCCCTCCAAAAGTGGTCAAATTTAAATGTCTGCGCACACCCCTGTTTATGAATTAGCAGAGCTTGCTGTATGATAATCAAGAGATATAGGTTAGAAAGAATGTTAGGTAGAAATTTAAAGTCTACAGAAATTACTTGTCAATTTCTGGAAGTCTGCACCCAATGAAGTATACTATAGCGGTGGTGAGTACACCATATTCAGATGTTCACATCTTTATTATTTCAGACCCAACTATTTCCAACTTCATCCAGCACACATTCCCCATTTCAGGAATCTGAGCTTTAAACATGACATGTAAAAACAGTATGAGTTATCTAAAGACAAAATAATGCATCTTAAAGATTGAGGCATACATTTTTCTTGCTGGCGTAACTTGAGAGTTTGAATCTTTTCCCCCCCAAAGCAAAAAGTGCACGAGAGCGATGAGGAGTTTTGGAATTGAAAGCCTCTTATAACTTACAGTCTCTGAAGCTTACTCACCTTTTTCTTTCCTCTCTCCATTTAGCAATCTCCTCTGGAGTATCTAATTGTATTCTTCTAGCACCAGGAGCATGCATCTATGGAGGACAAGTTTTCAGAAGCATTACAAAAATGTGACTGAATATTCCCTTTATGCAATTACATGAAACTCTGCAACTTTAAAAAACACAGACATTGCTGAAGTTGGGTGTAACATATAGAGAATGAGAAGACTAAAAATGAAACCTGGTGATTGTTATTTCTATTATGTTGTCTTTTACATACTTTTCATGTTTAACATGGGACTGAGGGTCAGTTTTTAAGGCTGAGACTGGACTTTATCATTCTAAAGAAATATAAAAATGCATAAAGACAGCCAGAGGAGAAGCTAATAATCAATTCTACAATTTTCATGGACTCAATTTTTGAAGCAGCTTGGGGTACCTACATTCTTCCAGTGAATTTGAACCAACTTCTCATGTGCACTGAAACTGCAACCATCTTCTGCACACTGAAAGAGAAGAAAAATACTCTGACACTATTTGAATGAAATTACGCACAAAAAGAGTCAAGATGTAGCTCACTTATTTTTAACTACACTGCATAGTAGATCACTTTCTTGAATGGTGAAACAAAACAACAACTGCCAGCATAGTCTCGGTTACTCGCACAGAGTTTTGAAAATGTAAAAGGCTAAGTACCAGTACTACAGCATTAAGAATTACATTTTAAAAAGGAGACATTCAGTTACTAAGTGGCGTAAGAGTAATACATTATGTTCACTACGTTTTAAAATATCTATTCTCCCCAGTACTCATTTAGGATAACATCTTAGGATTCAGAATGCACTCAACAGTTTATAGCAGTGAAGATCTTCCATCATTTCATGCAGGAATTGGGGCAGCCGGCATCCGAGAATTAGTCTTAGCCCCACCATAGAGGACTTGCCTAAATTGTACACACTGTAGTCAGCCCAGTTCTAGGGCAGAAGACCTTCAGCATTTCAAATTGGATGCAAATAGCACAAGCACGCTGTCAACATTTGTTAGGTTCATGCTGTACTAGATACCTATAGTGTCCAAAACAAGGCAAATCCCTCTAGTAGCGTCATCCCCAAAGACTTCAGTAATGCACGCAAAATTGTATGACTAGTTCATATACCATGGATAATTTCAACTACTAACTACCAATTTTACATTTACCATTATGAATCAAAGACCTACATAACCAGCACCCCAACGCCTATAAGTACAGGCAGAACCTCTGTACTCAGTTAGGGCCTCCATTTTACATCTTAAATCAAAAAAGCACACCCGTAGCAACACAGCGACTCCTTGCACTATTTGGAGTCAGTGAACGAGAGGACTCCAAAGAAAGTGCCACCTACCAACACTTCCTGTACCATGTGATTTTCTGTTGGTGATCTCCCATTCAAGCACTGCCTAGGACCAACACCTGCTTAGATTATGAAACCACAGTCCAAAATGGTATGGCTGTAAATTGTAAATATAAGCTGTTTTATAAGACAAACTTTCCCGCCTATTTAAACTAACCTGTGTGTGCTGTGCAACGTGTTCATCATATTTTTCTTGGTTTTTATAGCCACGATCACAAGTATCACAATAATGAGAGAAAACTGGTTCTTTTTTCCTTTTGTTCTGTTAAAAGAGTGACACTGTTATGTTCATTTCTTCAAAAAATAAGTTACACTTTCTTTTAAATAGAAACCAATATGCCGGAATATGCTTTCAGGAAGATATTTAAATTATTTTAGCTGGAGTTTCAATAGTCAAAACATTTGATACATAATCTAGACAGAAAAATGACTAAAAAGATCAAATTATTGTGTTCCATATCTTGCAGTTTCCAACTCAAATGTGCTCAGTTTACAAGTAACATCTTTTTACTAAGTGTCACCACTGCCAACATAACCAAAATGCCAAAGTGGCTTCAACACCAGAAATAAAGGCTGTTGCAAGGTTACTACGTCTCAACAATTGAATCATGTGCACAATGTACGATTTCAATAAGTTGATTAGAGCATCCCTCCCTTGAACGAATCCAGGACTTGCAGACTTGTCTCATCATGGAATGCTCTCATTTATAACATAATGGTTAACATATGTTATAACATAACCCTAACCGGTGCGGTGGGATTAAGAGTACTGTATCCCAGAAGTACAACTGAGTTACTAAACTCCACATAATAGCTATAATAAGTACCTTTTGCTTGAAGTTTCCACCTGGAGAATGTTTAAAAAATGCAGGTGTTTGTTCAGCTTGCCATTCTTGGGTAAAATGGCAATTTCCACCTTCAATAAAAAAAAATTACAAGAAAAGTGAAATTACACGTAGCTGTTTAATACTTTCTTCAATATTATATTTGGGGAAAAGAGTGCACTCTAAATAACTGAAATAACCTTATCAAAATCTTTTAAAGAAAAGCAGAAATATGGAAGTTTTTGATCCATCTGATATTCCTTACCTCATCTGTGTAATCACACTATTACACTACTTGTTATCTTATATCCCTTGGTGTCCTAAACGTCATTGTTGAGACTTCTCAGGATCTCCCTTATTCTATCAATCCTTTTAAAAAACTGGCTGAAAATCAGTGCTACCACTTTTAAATAATAATAAATCAGTATTTTAGATTTTTTTTAAAGTGCAGATAACACAGGAATGTTTTGGTTTGTTTTTTCAATGACATCATCAACATGGCAAACCCCAAAAGGACACAGCCTCCCTGGAGATATATTACAGCATCACCAAATCTTTGGCAAATAAAAGGCAAAAACCTGGTTTTAAGTTTCAGGATTGGGAAGCTTGGGAAAGAGCGTGGGAACTACCTCGCCCTTCTTTGAGTCATAAGCAAGAAGTAGCCAGCACTGGAGGAAAGCAACAACCACCTAAGCAGATCCGCAAGCCAAAGTGCACGCGAGAAGCAGGGCTGCAGCACCCAGGACCACTCCTCCGCACCCCCCACCCCCGAGGCGCAGCTGGGGAGAAACCCCCTGCAGAAGGATGGATATGGGGGAAACGAGGCAGGAGCCCCTCGGAGGGGGGTGGTCGTTGGGAGAACAGGGAGAGGGGGAATATCCGGCCCAGGTGCAGAAGCCCCTCCCTCTTGCCCCCGCGGGGGTCTCCCCTACCTGGGTGCGGGGCTGTCGGCCGCTCGCCGTACGCCGGTGACGGCTGGTACCATGCGGCAGGCGGCGGATAATCCCCAGGCGGCGGCGCCCAGAAGCTGGGGTCCCAGGCGGGGGGCCCCGGGGGCGGGCAGAACACAGGTGGCCTGAACACGGGAGGCGGCGGGTACCAGGCGAACGGATTCATGTCAGGCCCGAACAGACGCCTCCGGCCTCCCGTGCTACCACTGCCAGCGGCGGCTGCCTCCACATGGGGGACGCAGGCGGCCACTGCATTATACGTCACTTCCGGCACTACTGTAAACACCCCGCCCCAAAGCCAGGGTGCGGAACTCCACCGGCCACGCGACCGGGAAACGTCATCGCACAGCGCCGGAAGGGCCATGGAGACCGTCAGCCGCCTGTGCGCCGGCGGGTTTGTCTGGGCCGCACGGGTCGCTACGCAATACGCATGCGCCTCCCGCGGCGGCGGTGGCGGCGGCGTTGTTGTGCCATGGCCCGGGAGCTGATGGGGCCGGCGCTGCCCCCGGGCTTTGCCCGCTGTGCCGAGGCGGACCCGGATGAGGACTTCAGCCAGGGTGAGGACGCGTTAGGGGGCCGGGCCGCCCCAGCGCCAGGGTTTAAGCCGTGGGGCGGGGGCTCCTCAGAGCGGTTCAGTCCGGTCCCAGCCGGGGGCTGTGGGTAGCCCCGGCGCCGCTCGGTGCTGGCCGAATCAGCGCGCCCTCCCGTCTCCCGCCTGCGCGGGCCGGGGCCGAGCCGCCCCGCGGGACCCGTTAGCAAACCCTCGCACGGGGCTGTTTGCCCGCTGGCCGGCCGGCCGGCCGGGTGGCGCTTCCTGCGGTGGTTTCCAGCCGGCGGGGTCCGCTCCTCCCTTCGAAACGTTCTCGGGGTCCGCAAATGGAAAAGCGGTTGAACACCGCGGCTGTGCGGCAAAGTGACCCCTCTCTCTTGGGTGCTCCTGCCCTGCCGCAGGTAAGGCCGAGGCAAGCTGCTCGTTTCACAGCCGCTGATTTTCTGTGAGCTCTAATGCAAGTGATTTCTTTTTTTCTTTTAGAGTAACAGCCGTGTTAGTCTGTTTTTGCAAAAAGAAAAGGAGGACTTGAGGCACCTTGAGACTAACCAATTTATTTGAGCATGAGCTTGAGCCACAGCTCACTTCATCAGATGTGTACCGTGGAAACTGCAGCAGACTTTATATACACACAGAGAATATGAAACAATACCTCCTCCCACCCCCACAATTGCAACTTGCCTGGTGCTGCACCCCGGTTTTCAGATGATTTCATGTAGCCTGTCAAAGATAAACACACACAACCACTCTGTTTTCTTGTAGTTGTGTTCTAGGATATTTTACATTAGGGGTTTCTCAAACTTCGTTGCACCATGACCCCCTTCTGACAACAAAAATTACTACATGACCCCAGGAGGGGAGGGACTGAGCTCGCCTGAGCCCTGGTGCCGCAGGTGGGGGGGGGAGGACAAAGCCCGACACCTGGGCCCCAGGCGGGCATGGGTAGCGGAAACCCAAAGGCTTCAACCCCAGGCAGGTGCCTGTAACTTGAGCCCCACTGCCCAGGACTGTAGCTGTTGGGCTTCAACCCTGGGCAGTGGGGCTCGAGGTTTGGCCCCAGGCCCCAGCAAGTCTAAGCCAGCCCTGGTGACCCCATTAAAATGGGGTCGTGACCCACTTTGCGGTCCCGACCCACAGATTGAGAACCGCTGTTTTACACACACAGAGCTGCCATATAATTTACTATTTTCTCTCTTCTGGGGAGGTATTGTTAATGCTACTGACTTTTTAGACTTTTTTCTGGCCTTACACTTTGTCTATTTAAGGGTTTCATAGCATTTACTTGTCTTTTAACTGAATTTTGTCATCTGTGGTAGATCACAGATACCTTGGGTTTGGTTCACCTAGAGTAGGTTACTCTGTCATGCTTCACTATTTACTGCTGCATTTGTCTTATGAAAGGACTATATTTTAAACTCATTTATTTTGGGGAGGATGCTAAAATTATGTCTTAGCACAAAATTTAACTATGTATCTGAAAACAATTTAACTTAATTCATTCTGTCTATGAGTATTCTTACAACCATATTTGAGCACCCACATTACCCCTCTGAAAATCACATCCAATGTGTTTTGCAATGCATAAAATCACTGGACAAATATAAAATACAGCGCTTTATATATCTTATGCTGCTTATGCTGATCTACATTGTGCTAGTTCTGAAGAAGCCTCTGGGCAAACAGTCAAGATGCTGGTATTATTGTTGGAATGCCCTTGAGAAAGATCTAAAGTGGCTTTGCAACAAATTCTGTAAAACATTTGTCTGCAGCACAAATAAATGGATTTAAGCTAAACCTCATTCAGTATTATGAGATGATTCTCTAGAGGAATTTTAAAATAGTTACTTAACATGTGTAAAATGGTCTTAAAAGGTTGTTATACGGAGGCAGATTATGTTAACCATTTTTAAACAATATTACTTTATTCTTAGTTTAAAGGTCCATCTGTGGTACATGGGAGGATATTTGATGGGAGGAACTGGTGCAACTTGCTAGGGGATAAGGATGTCAGCATTCCACACCTGCCACTGCTGCCACTACTTCCCAGCTGCTCCTTCCTGGGCCTTGCTCTTGTTGGACTGATACTTGATGTTTCTTTTCTTTTGACCTGATCTGAACAACTCTTCAAATATGTATTTTTTTCACTTGTTTGGTAGTTGAATTTATGTGTGAGCTTGTCCTTCACTTTTCCTCAGGGACATTTTCATTTCTAGACCTCTTTTTTAGCATCTACCTTCTTTAGAAAGAAAAGGAGTACTTGCGGCACCTGAGAGACTAACAAATTTATTAGAGCATAAGCTTTCGTGAGCTACAGCTCACTTCATCGTATGCATCCAGTGAAGTGAGCTGTAGTTCACGAAAGCTTAGCTCTAATAAATTTGTTAGTCTCTCAGGTGCCACAAGTACTCCTTTTCTTTTCACGGATACAAACTAACACGGCTGCTACTCTGTAACCTACCTTCTTTAGAGAAAATGACATACAAAATTGTGCACTTTCAATCTTGTAATTCCATCAGAAAGGGTTAATTTGATACCTTAAATCAGAAGAGTGAAGACAACCATTTATTAATGTCAACATTCATGAAATGGAATTGCTACTTCACATGCACAGTTTGGTTATGTGTAATTTTCATAAGGCAGTATGTCAGTAAATATTTAATAATCCATTCTTTTGGCTTCATTATGCCGACTTATTGTTTTTGCATATAACATACTACATTAAACAACTACATTAAAAGGACACTATTAAGGTTTCAACATCAAGCATTCAAAAGTTAAGAGATGCTAGAAGTAAGGTTTCTTTTACTTGACACAAAGTTCATATTCACACCCAATTTTAATTCCCTGCTTCAAAGGATCTGTTAAAAGAAAAGATTGTTTTGCCCATGTTAAAAAATTCTGCCAATGTATTTTTCCATAGCCCTGTTCTTAGAAAATGCGGAACCATTTTGGCTGAAATTTTCCAAATATTTCAGCCCGAGACAGACACCAGGCATGGAAAACTTAAGCCCAAATGGTTAATATTCGGTAAAGTGTTAAGTCTCTGAAAACAGGGTCTTATAATGGGGAGTTTGGGGCAACCTTAATAATAGGTAGCATTAGCAGCCCCCTTTATAATTGTCTGTCACACCTGTAGGATACTTTACTCGTTTAGGTTCTGATTCTGCAAACATTTATACATAAATTTAACTTTATACATGTGTAATGCCACTGAATTTAAGTTGTGTAAAGTTGAGAATGTGCATAGGTGCTTTCAGGGTCTTAAATATATATATTTTTAAATAACTGATCAAAAATAGGCCATGCATTCAGTTACACTGATCAAACAAACCAAAATGGATAACATATTGACAGTAGTCGGTATAATATGTTGCTTATTAATCCTTGGCCTCTTTCCCGTGTCTTCCATAATCACGTCTTATAATTTTTTTGGAGGGTAGAGGGGATGCACAACTCTGACCAGAAATATCTGGTATTGAAGTGGACTCATGGATCTGTTGTCTTGGTTCATTTCATTTCCATGCAAACAAGAAGCTGAGATGAGAGGCAGATCAGTGGTTGCTTTGTAAATTGTATAAAGAAAAGAAGTACTTGTGGCACCTTAGAGACTAACTAGTCTCTAAGGTGCCACAAGTACTCCTTTTCTTTTTGCGAATACAGACTAACACGGCTGTTACTCTGAAACCTGTAAATTGTATGTTGTTCTTGTTTTGTGTTTTAGTTATGTGAAGAAATGATGAGTTGTGTAATGTCCCTTTTAATCTTTCTCATCCTTGTCTAAGACTTACCTAATAAAAGTTGAACCTAAGAGACCAACAAATTTATTGGAGCATAAGCTTTCGTGAGCTACAGCTCACTTCATCGGATGCATGCAGTGGAAAATACAGTGGGAAGATTTTATATACACAGAGAACATGAAACAATGGGTGTTACCATACACACTGTAACCAGAGTGATTGGGTAAGGTGAGCTATTACCAGCAGGAGAGAAGAAAAAAAAACCTTTTGTAGTGACAATCAAGGTGAGCCATTTCCAGCAGTTGGCAAGAACGTGTGAGGAACAGGGGGGGGGGGAGGGGGGGGATAAACATGGCATATTTTTCCCCTCTACTGTTCCTCACACATTCTTGTCAACTGCTGGAAATGGCCCACTATGATTATCACTACAAAAGGTGGTTTCTTTTTTTTCTCCTGCTGGTAATCTTTCACCTTACCTGATTACTCTCATTACAGTGTGTATGGTAGCACCCATTGTTTCATGTTCTCTGTGTATATAAAATCTCCCCACTGTATTTTCCACTGCATGCATCCAATGAAGCGAGCTGTAGCTCACGAAAGCTTATGCTCAAATAAATTTGTTAGTCTCTAAGATGCCACGAATACTCCTTTTCTTTTTGCAGATACAGACTAACACAGCTGCTACTCTGAAACCAATTAAAAGTTGAGCTTCTAGATGGATCTGGTTTATTTTGCATAATTTAAAAGATCACAGCTCTTTAACTGTAGATGTCATTTTCTCTCAGCCTTCATTTATTTGACTTCATTGTACCTGATCTTTTTTTGTTCTAATTCTTTGGCTGCAGTAAAAGTTCACTGTACCTCTTCCCAGACAAATAAGTTTCCCTTCTTGTCTGCTTTAAAATCAGTGTTTGAAATTTCAAAAGGCCCTGTGGACTTTATGCCTCAGAATGCACTGTGAAATTATAAAAAGTCC